TTGGCCAAACCTTAGGATTTAAAACCGAATTTTCCATATTTAATCCCAAACCCCCCATTCCCAAAGCCATTTCACGCAGACAGTGGTGCTGGTTATGAAATCAACTTGGCTCCAAATTGGGTTTTACATTTTTTTATGATTTTTAACAAAATTGAGGCTGAGGGAAGGAAGCCCAATAGCAAGAGCAAGATATGGAGTTGCAGGTTACTTCCAAACTCAACATACGACATTAAATTCAGAGTTTTCATTTTCTACTTCCTCTTTATATATATATATATATTGAGAAGAACGATGATTATAAAATTCCAAAGAAACTGAAACTTAATTTCGAAGAAGTTACCTGCACAAATTTTTGCCGAGAATGAATAATAGTTTCGAAGCTTGCAGCTTGAATTTTGAAGAACTGATGCAGTGTGTCAATGTGGATTAGAAGATGATGATGATGATGAAATCAAAGAAAAATAATTGTTCAAATATGAAGAGATTTCCCTAGTTGAATACCCAGATTTCTGTAAAGTTTTTTGCTCAGCTGTGAGTGAATTTTGGAGATAGAATTGACGAGTTTTTGGTTTTACTACTGTTGAGCCCTACAACCTTATACTCCAGAATTTAGACAATTGAGTTGGGCTCATAATGGACTTAAACTTGGGCCAAAGAGGAATATTGGACCAAGATAAATTTAAAATAGATGTTGGGTGTAAAATTCGACCCGATAAAGAAATATTGGATTTTTAAGATTAAAAATCGTTTTGNGAGGAATTTTAAAATAGATGTTGGGTGTAAAATTCGACCCGATAAGGAAATATGGAATTTTTAAGATTAAAAAAAAAACGTTTTTGAATCAATATATTAAATGTTTTGCTAGACAACTCGACGGACATAAAATAAATTCTAAAATTTGAAGGAAATGTCGTAGTGACACAACTTAAGTTATAAAATTTGCATTTTAAAATTCGGGTCGCTACGGAAAGTTGTCCCAAGAAATTATCGCCATCTCCTCACTCGTCAGTGTGTTCTCTGTACCGGTTTCCAACAAGCTCACCACAAAGTTTGGGCTAAAATCATTGTTTAGCTTTGTTAAGGTAGCAAGCTTGTGTATTTCATCAAAAAATGATTTTTCAGCTTGATGGAGTGCGATGAAATGGGGCAAGACGCCATTTGATTTGCTTGGAATTGTACTGTAAATCATGAATTCCGTTTACCTGTACTGTTAAAATTTGAAATGTAGTTGTGAATAGCTTATCTAGGCTTGATATTTGCAGTAGTTCTCTATTTTGCAAAATTTGTTCAATTAGTATGAAACTGATTTCAGATTTGTTGTTGGTAGTTCTTTGCTTTGCAAAATTTGTTCAATTGGCATGAAATTGATTTCAGAAATGGGGCAAGATGCCATTTGATTTGCTTGGAATTGTATTGTAAACCATGAATTTCGTTTACATGTATTGTTAAAATTTGAAATGTAGCTGTGAATAGCTTATCTAGGTTTGATATTTGCAGTAGTTCTCTGTTTTGCAAAATTTGTGAAATTGGTATGAAACTGATTTCAGATTTGCTGTTGGTGGTTGATGCCCGTCTTAGAATGCCAAGAAGGAATTCTGGAATATGTTATAGTTGTAGAGCTAAAGATCACTTCTTTGTCGATTACAAAAGGAAATGGCCTTGCACACTATGTAAGCATGAGTTTGAGAAATATTTTGTAGTGGAAAAGGAGAATAAAAACAAAGGGAAATTATTCCTTTGCTGCAGTAACAATTATGGATTTTGGTAGTGGGTTGAAAATGAAGAATCGGCGGTCCATATAGATGCGATAGCACAAACTCGATCAACCCTGCAAAGAATGAAACAATTGAAAACATGTCCGGTATGTTCCAGACTCGAGTTCGAATAAGTGAGGAGGAAGAACTCCAGATTTTGGTGAACGTCATGATCTGGACTAAAAAAGTAATTGCGCAAGTGGATGCCAAAGGGAAACAGCCAGCCTGACTGTTGAACTTTTGTGTGCATATGTTTTGTTGTGGCGCCGAAAGCCAATGTAATGTTATTTTGTGTATGAACTCTTTTTATTTGTTAATGAGTACATTTTCGAAATAGCCCGTGTTATTTGTAGTGGAGCCGAAAGCCAATTTAATGTTACATTTTCGGTAACATAATGGACGCCGTGTGTTAAATCTCTAAAACATCTTCCTATTTTCAGTGAATGCCGATTAGATCTTAACTGGATAAGTTACTCGATATCATTACATATTCACAAAAAACAGTAGCCTCTTTTCCAGCGAACAGCTTTAGATATATATTTTCTTGTAAATGTTATTTTGTGCGGTCTTTAGATGCTTGGCAGGTATCCGCATTCTCAATGTGAAATAAGTTAATAATGACGAAGAAGCTTTATGTTTCTACAATTCTTCCGAGGTGAAAGTGAAAAAAATGCTCCTAAGTTATAGCTCAATTCCAGAAAAATGTTCCTGCCATTATAGCTCAATTCCAGAAAAATGCCCTACCTTGACCAGAATATGAAGCTTCCTACCATCGATGGTTAAAAAAAGTACCATCAAAATGAAAACCGCTTCCTGCCATCAATGGTAACAAAATCAAAATAATATGAAGCTACAGAATCTCCAACATAATATGAATCTAATGAATTGTTTAGTTTGTTTAATGGGTAACAAAACCACCATAATAAGGGGAAACCAATGACAAAATCAACAATCCACCTGAAATGCACTAAATTAATGGCTAACATTGTTGCATAAACATTACAATCTAAACAATTATTTTACATCACGATAAACCAATGACGCCCAAGTGAACATCACAGTCACGAGCACTTGCCATCTTCTCGAGTTAAGCCTGTATAGTATAATGACATAGATTGCCCTACATTTAAAAAAAAAAGCTCTTTACTAAAGGAATAATGAACAAATGAATTTTGAACGCGTAAATAAGAGAAAAGTTTATACCTTGTAAATTATACATAAAGTTCATCGACGACGGATGAATCAACTGTCCCGACGATAAATGTTGTAAGATGGAAAATAGTGTTGGGATGGTATATTGTGAAAGGGAAAATGGCATTGGTGTCAACATGGAATGTTGTTGTTGTCGAGGTGGTTGAACGTTGATTCCCCCATCAACCATATTACTGAGGTTTGCTGTCGGTCTCGTACTAGTGTTTGATGTCGAACCAGACTACATTACATCAAAGGTAATTGTAATATTTATTTCTGAACATATACAAATCTTAAAATACTCTATCTAACGTACCTTCGCTTTCTTTGATGCAGTCTCCGACTGGCTTTTTCGCCTAAGTTTCCTTGAGGCTCCCTTTCTTCGCGTATGTTTTGGATCAAGTGCGCTTACACTCGAAGTATTTGCTAAATTATTATCTACATTGAGGACTTGCATAGTATGTTGCGAAACGCAATTACTTCACGTACTCGATTTCGTGGTCGTAAGCTCTTTACATTGACATTTTATTCACTCCATTATCGTGCGTGAACGACTTTCGACATCTGTAGAAAGGTTTGCCCCCTCTACAAAACCAGCAGACATCTCTTCGTATCTTAATTGTACCGGAGTACTGACTAACCAATCGTAATTTACTGCAACCCTCGTGTGGGCTCGGTGAACATCTTGTATCCACCGCCGCAGAATGTACCTATTCAGCACATGTGTGACGTCATTTCGAACCTATACAGTGATCGCATGTCTGCAAAGTATTCCACGATACTCAAACAAGTGACAGGTGCAAACAATTTCACATTTGTCTCTCATGAACGATACGATAAATGTCTTTTTCCTCCGACACCCTTGTACATAATAATCTTACGTACTTCATATGTCGTATGAAAACATCGATCCAAAGTAGACATCACGTCGCAATACACCTTTCCCGTTAACTCATCTTGAAATTTACGAAATTTTGAAATGGTGTAAACCGATTGAAACTGTTGCTTCATTTCAAATTGTATTGCACATGGTGGCATTTGCGAGAATGATTTGAAATCTGCCTGAAATTCCTTCTCAACCTTACTTATCAGGGCACGTTCATACTGTTCAAC